AATTAATAATAATATGTGACATGTGCTATCCTGGATATATAAACGAATTGTAAAAAGAAGGAACTGGTATTTATTTATGTGGCAGGACGTGACCTCCTTCAAAAATAATTCCCAGTGATTGCTGTTTCCTGGTATTCATGCTCTTGTATAATCCACTTAAGTGTGAGGTGGACACAATAACTTGTTCCTAGTGAACAGAATGTGGCAAAAGTAATAGAATATCATTTCCAAGGTTGGGTCTGTAAGATTATGACTTTCGTCTTGCTAGTACATTCTCTCTCTAGCTCTTCCTGCTCACTTGCTGTGATGAAACAAGCTGACATTTTGTGAACTGCCTCGATGGCGAGGTCCACATGGGAAAAAACTGAAGGCAGTCTTTAGCCAACAGCAAACAACGAATTAAACCCTGTCAAATTGAGTGAACTTGGAAGTGAGCTCTACCCTAGTCGAGCCTTGAGATGACTGTAGTGCTGGTTGACACTTGGGTTGTAGCTTTGTGAGTGACCCTGAAGGACCTAGTGAACCATGCCCAGATTCCTGACATATAACACAGACATGATAAATATTGTTGTAAGCCATTAAGCTTTGAAGTAATTTGTTTTGCAGTAGATAACTAATACAATTAGGAAGAAAAGCAAAGAATTGAAACTTAAGGCATAGAACTTGCAAAAAGAATAAAGTAGAATACAGATTAAATCTGGAATTGATAATCTTGTGTAGCTATAACCTGAAGTATCCTGGCAGGAATGAATTTTGAGACCAAACTATAAAAATGTATCCAATGTCATTTGTGTCAGTCAGGAGGATATCCTTACAGAAAATAGAAACCTTTCTATTTTTTTTTTTTTGAGAGGTTTTTGCTATAGGACGTGTGCACTTGCCAGAAAGACAGAGAGAGACAGAGAGACAGAAAGCGAGAAATCACCTCCCGAGGGGGGGTGATCACACCACAATTCCTTCTCCTCTCAGGATCTTGGGCACGCACGCACATGCACCCAGTGTGAGTTTAAGCCACCGGGTCCGGGACTAGAACTGCAGTGGACTACATGGGAGTCCAGCGACACAGCCATTATGCTAACTGCTGGCTCCACCTCTCTGACTATTTTAAACAAAAAAGTTTAAGAAAGGGAGTTAGGTACTTGTGAAATCATTGGAAGAGCTAGAGGAATGATTTCTAGTCAGAGCCCCAGGAAAGCCTCCCAGATCAATGCCTCTGAACTGGCCCATGAGGGGAAGTTTCTGTCTCTTATACAATAAGGAAAGTAGGGAAGCTGGAGTTAGATACTGTTAGTCACTATTGCCTCCATACCCATGAAGTGAGTGACTGGGCTTAGAACCTAAATCACATCACTGCTGCCTCTGTGGTTGAAGTAAGGCTAGATTCTGAAAGTTCGCTGTGAAAAAGCCTGTATCTCCATGACTGTGCTTACCTGCAGCAATCTCTAAAGTAGCATTAAGTAGGTCTCTCCTCCCTTCTGCCTCTAACTCATGTTTGTGTAAATTGGTGGAACCTCTTTGTATCCAGAAGCCCAGTCATGGAGAGTATGGGAAGAGTCTTTAGCTTTCCACCTTCTGAAGTTTAGGAAGTTTCATTTTAGAAAAAGATGCTGAATTGCAGCTTGCCTTATCTACCCTGAACAGTAATGTGTTTAGACTTTAGACTTTAACCTGACAGGTTAGAGTGAGGAGACCTAAACGGTGTGATAATAAGTTCCATGTTGGAAAATATTCAACCTGGTATAGGATAAGAGGATGAACTGGAGCTATGACAGGTTTTCAAGACTGGAAATGGAGAGAAATTGTCTAAGTGGAAAGGGATGAGAGCTTGAACTCAGGTCTGGGAAATAGTATAGAAAGGTCAGAGACTGTATAATAGAAAGTAAATTGAGTTCATTCCATTTCAGTTAGTATTTAATGCCAGTGTTCAAGCTCTATGGTCTCTTATTTTTTAAGGATTTTAATTATTTTTTAATTTATTTACCCCTATGTCTGACCCTTTGCCCTTTCCCAATCTCAAGAATTATTTTATTTAACTTTTTTTATTTTTAAAAATTTGACCAGAGAGGGATAGAGAGAGAGAGAGAGAGAGGTAAAGTGAGAAAGCAAGCTGCCAGGTCTGGGACTTGAACTGTGGTTGGCCCTTCAAGCTCTATAGTCTTTAATTCTTGTATCCTAATGATAGAACTCCAGGGACTACATATACCATCTTACTTTATTTTTTAGTCTAATAATTCATTATACTTTATTTAAGTTTTGACCTCTGTGGTATAGGCCTGGAGTGTGTTGAGGTGAAAGAAACAACACAGCAACCAAAATTATCTTCAAAATAATCCTTTAATTTTTCTAAAACTATGAAAGGGATCTAGATATATATGCCACAAGTGGAGTTTATATAAATTTCCTTTTCTCTTCTGCCTGCTTTGATCACAGTCCACAATTACTTTATGGCATCACCCTCCTTAAACCCTCCAAACCTCTCTCAACACCTAGCTTCATGAAGTAATTCTTTCTCTTCTCCATTTTCCTTCCTTCCTTGCCTACTTCTCATTTCTTTATTATATAGGCTGCCCTAGACTTTCTCCAGCAGGGTGACTCATTTTAGGAAGGAGGATAAAGGGGAAAATAGACTGGCAATCAGAGGTCAGGTGTTGTCTCATTGTCCTGCTATAACTCTCACTGTCAGCCATTAGACATTTTTAAAATTTATTCTTTTACTTCCATACTAATCTTTTCTTACTCCCTCCCAAGCCTTCGATTGTCTCATGTATGTTAGTGGCTTAAAAAATCCTTTTCTTTAGCCTTAGCCTGTCCCCAAGATCTAAAATTTTACCCTTCTCTTAGATACTTCCACTGGATATTCTGTTTCCATACCACAAACAACATATTATCAAGCCCAGCTTATTAGCTTCTCTCCTTTTTATTTGTTCCTTAACTTGGTTAGTGAAATCTCCATTCGTGTAATTGCGCAAGCTGAGAACTTCACTATTGTCTTTGACTTATTTTTAAATCTAATCAGAGAGTGCTTCCAATTTTAGTATCACAAATGTTTCTGGAATTTCTCTTCTGTCCACTTCCACTGACGTTGCCTTGTTCTAAGCTCTTAGCATTTCAAAGCTGCACTCTTTGGTCTCTAATCTGTCTTCTCTCTGGTCCAGTAATTCCCAGTCACTGATCCTGACACCAGCTGGATCAGGCTGTCTGGGAGTTTTCTTCATTTGTTTGCTTGCTTTTGTACCTTAGGGTCCTAGACATAAAAACCATTCTGATCTATTGGGCTAGGATAGAGTTGGTGGTTTTTGAGTTTTTATTAATCTCCTTAGATGGATCTGATGATGAGCTTGGTTTGGGTTACTGAGTGATTGTATGTGGCCATGTAGAATTATTATACTCCCTTTCTCTTTTTCCTGAGTAGGTCATCTACCTGTCTAAAGTAACAGAAGATGATGATAACATTCTAATATATTAGATACCCAAAAGATGGAGGTGTAGTCTGGAAGATCTGATTAGTTTTTTTTTTTTTTTTTGGAGAGGTTTTTGCTATAGGGCGCGTGCGCTCGCCAGACAGACAGAGAGAGACAGAGAGATAGAAAGCAGGAAATCACCCCCCAGGGGGGATGGCCACGCCGCAATCCCTTCTCCTCCATTCTCCTCTCGGGATCTTGGGCACGCACGCACACGCACCCGGCGTGAGTTTAAGCCACCGGGTCCGGGACTCGAACCGCGGTCGACTACGTGGGAGTCCAGCGACATAGCCATTACGCTAACTGCTGGTCCCTGATTAGTTTTCATCTAATACACACATAGGAAAGACTGCTATTCAGGGACTTTCCCCCTATCTCTTCTTCACTCTCTAAGAACTGGATGAAGTTGATAAGGTTTAAGGACTAACAAACCAGAATTTCAGACTCATAGACCTACAGTGCCAAGGGATAAGGCAAATGAATGTAATGAACTGGGTTTGAGAAAAAGGCTACAGGGCTGGTCCTGTGGCCTTGTGGTTAAGGAAGCCAGATCCCACATGGGCGACTATCAGGTTTGAATCCCTGACCTGGCGGCTTGAAAAACATTCCAAGTGAGTGCATGTGCATGCTCCAAAATCCTGACAGGTTAGAGAAATGGAGAAAGATTGTGGCATGACCATATCCCATTGGGGGATGCTTCTTCCCTCTCCCTCTCTGTCTCTCTCTGGTGAACACATGAGCCCTCTGGCAAATTAAATTTTAAAAGGCTACAGTCTTACAAGATTCACAGGAGATGGCACCTTTACTTTGACTTAAGGTTGTAATTGAGAGTGTTGAGGACTGTGGCGAAATGGAGAGAGAATACTCCATTTAAAGGGAACAGCCACTACTCATATCAGATAGTTACTGCTGTCAGAGAATTTGGGTTATCTCCAGACCTTCCCATTTTTCAAGGGAACCTCAAAATTTAAACTTGTGAGGTCTCTTAATTTTTAATTCTTGGTAATTAGGCAAGATTTATATATTAGATAAAAAAAGAGTCTGCCTACAGGTTATGGCCTCTGAGCTAAAAAGACTGTGGGGCTTGGGGTCAATGGTGAGGAAAAGAAAATAACTAGCGGTCTAAGGGGAGAAGACTAAGGAGAGGGAGAGAGAAGGCTTGAGAAATAGGACAAATGAGCTATCCTAAGTAGCCAGCTTCCCTGTGAACTCTGAAATGGCTTGAAATGTAGGACCTCAATCCCAAGTAAAGGGTTAGTTACTGTATGTGACTTGACCACATACTGCTTTCTTCTTTGGTTCTTTAACTATTTTAGTTTCACTAACTAGGGCCAGAATACATATCACTTAAAATATGATCATTTGAAGCAAGAATAGCCCCACATGGTGAGGTATGTACTTTTGGGACTATATGTGTTTGTATGGTAATAACCAAAGTTGTATCTTTTATTTTTGCAAACTATAGATGATGACTTAGTCCTTACTTGAATTTTCGCATGAAAGGCATAATGTGTCTATGTCAACAAGAGAGCAAAGAAGTTTTCTAAATTACTTATTTATTTGTTATGACACAAATATTTCTGCACCTCTTGTGCTCTTCTCGCTAGAAAAAAAAAAGGCAGAGTTGGTGATAAATTTGTTACAACATTTAAAGAGTGTGCACTGTGGCATAAAAGTAATAAGGTACTTCCTAGGCATGTTAATAATAAATTAAGGTTATAATGGTTGTCATATTAGAGAAAATGAATAGATTAGTCCCAGGAAAAAACATTAGTTTAAAAGATGATAAGCTAGAGATATTGAAACTGAAAAAAAAATAGTTTTAGACAGCTTTCTACCATATACTAAATTTTGATGACTAATATTCAATTACAGAGTATACTATCTTGCACAGCACCTAACATATAGTAGATATTCAATGAATGTTGGATTTTATTACCTTTAACACAGTAATACTCCTCAGTAATAATTTCTGAAAGTCAGATAAAAATACAAATTTGCAAGAGTATTTTGGGGAGGTTCCTTTTAAAAAAATATATTCTTCTAGAGAAAATAGTAGCAGCAGTAGAGAGAGAGGAAAGAAAGTGTGTGTATGTTCTAAATGTGAGTCCAACTCAATTTACTCAGAGAATACTTTGGCCTTGTCTGTGTTTATAGTCCCTGCTAACAATATGCTGTCAGCATCCTTGGCCTCATTCTAGTTCTCTGTTTTGGCTTTGCAGATATTAGGTCTCAAGTCACAAGAATCTCCATGGATTCATTTGCCAGACTTTTCTTTTCCCCTTTTTGCTCTAATCTGGCTCAGAAGGACATGCCAGGTGGCGAAAGTGTTTCCCTTTCAGAACTGAGGAGAGGATTTGGGTTGTGGAGTCAGGAGAGAAAGCTTTGGTCTCGGTTATTCCTTGACTCCCAACCCTGGTGTCAACCAGCCCAAAGGCCTTTTAACATGTGGGTATTGACTAGCCATATCAGGTCCTTGTGCTTTGCAAAGCTCCTTTCTCCTGCTGAGATATTACTAGGATATAACCAGGCTACAAAGGCTGTGGGAGGCTCTGGAGGTAGAAGGACAGGGTCCAGAAAGGATTGCAATAAGAAGGGAATTCTTTTTGGTGAACTCCATAGTCCAAAGGCAACCCTGAGCTGATGCCTTAGAAACCAAGGGTGGACTTTCTTCTTTGGTTTTTTAGCCCTTTTAGTTTCGCCAGCTGGGGTCAGAATACATTTTAGGAAAGAGATCAGCCTCAGTTGTGTCTTCTCATCTTTTTCTCCTCTAAACTTCAGCTTCCAAGCATCGCACTGTAGTTTTGGGTGGACTCTTGGGTTCTTCTGGGTTTTTATCAGTTTTCTTTGATTCTTCATTAGGGTTGTTATCATCAGCCTTCTCCTCCTTTACTACTTTTGTTTCAATCATTTCCTTCTGCTGATTCTTGTTTGTAAAAGGGAAGGTCTTTGCATACCTTTAGGTATAAACAAAAAAATAAAGTGAAACATAAAATTAAAGGTTTATGTCGCACAATTACCAGTAGATAATGCTTTGTCTGCAATGGCACACATTGGCATGGTACACTGAGAGAGAGCTGTATTTCAGAGTGATGCTAACACACATGTTCAAATACACAAAACATGCCCACCTAGATGGATTCATTTAAATGGGACAGTATGTTCACAGGCCAAACTTTCGGTTGACCTGGTGACTCCTTTTACCAAAACCAAAACAAACCTCCCCCATACCCAAAAAGCAACAACAACAACAAAAATCCAAATCAAATTAAGCATATAAATTTTCCCTAGATGTCAATTATTTGCTTTTTTTAGAATTATTTATTTAAATTAGTATTATTATTTAATTTGCTATCAGGGCATGTAAGCTCACCAGAGAGACAGAGAAAGAGAGGGAGGGAGGGAAAGTGAGAAAGCTGCCAGATCTGGGACTCAGACTATGATGGACCATGTGGGAGTCCAGCACCTTAACCATAACGCCACTTGCTGACCTCGTAGATGTCAATTCTTGATCTTCAAAGGGACAGCCATTGACTGATAACCAAAGGCTAGATAGTATGCATGAAATAGCGGGAAAGATAGGACGGTAGGGAGGATAGTTGACCGAGAAAATGTACAGTATAAGATGACTGCCACCTCCATTTTGACAAACAAAATGTCGGTAGCAACCCTGGAATAGCACAAGATAAAGATGTGATAAGGATGTCAAGGCTAGCCATGTGCCCACAACCCACCTTTTGATGTAGCACACAGCGAGACCAGCGGCAGCACCAAAGAAGAGGAGAGCAAGCACCAGCAGAGCCGTGGGGACGCCTGGAGGAAACAGAGACAGAGCTGTTGGCCCTCACACCATGTGTGCCGCCACCTAGCGATGCCTTGTTACACGTAATGGAGACGATAGCAGCTCCGCGGAGAAGTCTTTTCTGTGATCATGATATGGGGCTGAGTCAGCTTCTCTGCTTCTTGCTTGTGGAATCCTGAGCCTTTCCTCTCAGGTTCTCTCTAGTCTGTGGTGGGGGTGGAGGGAGACTTCAAAAAGTTCACGGAAAAATGAAGACCTATGCATAGATTTATGCATACTTATGAAAGAAGTATGCATAGATGTAAACATTTTTGCACTAAAATTAAGTCATACTTTAATCCCATGTTTTTCTCTGACTTTTTGAAGTACCCTTGTGTAAGCTAACAATTTGACAGTTCATTTTCTCTCTGTGGCCTTGAGACCCACTCTAGTCAACAAATCTGAGAAAGATTTGATTGGAATAAAGTCACAGGCATTAGGGTATATTTTTCAAAAAGAGCGTCTACATAGTAATAGATAATAATCTTAAAAGCCTTTGAGTTTTTAACAATGAAGTTCTTTTATACTTGTGATTTTTTAGCTTAAGCAGTAAGATTCTTTTTTTCTTTTTTGGAGAGGTTTTTGCTACAGGGCGCGTGCGCTTGCCAGACAGACAGAGAGAGAAAGAGAGATAGAAAGCGAGAAATCACCCCCCAGGGGGAATGACCACGCCACAATCCCTTCTCCTCCATTCTCCTCTTGGGATCTTGGGCACGCACGCACACGTGCCCGGCATGAGTTTAAGCCACCAGGTCCGGGAATCGAGCAGCGGTCAACTACATGGGAGTTCAGCAATATAGCCATTGCAGTAACTGCTGGTCCCAGCATTAAGGGTTTTTTTTTTTTTAATAGTTTGCAAGTCCTACAATTTTATGCAAGTTGGGTTTGTACTAAGCTTTTATTGTTAAATTTGGCAGATCCTGAGTACCCACACTAGAAAGAGGCTGGTTTCTCTGTATCGTCTCTTGCATGTAGACACACACACACACACACACACACACGCCATAATACAGACACAGAAAGCTCTTACCTCCAAACCCAGCAGCTTCATTCTTGAACGCTTTTTGATCCTCAACATATGATTCCGTTTCTGTAGCCATGGTGCTAGTTTCTGTAACAATTTCTGTGATGCAAATCAATTTTTTTCTTCGAGGAGTAGAAGTGGAAGCTGGAGCAGGAGTAGTAGCAAGAGTAGGTGTGGCAGAGTCCCAGGGGGATGATGCCGAGTATGTACTGTCCCTGATGGCAGATTCTGTTGTGTGCATTGCAATTTGAGTGTTGAATTCAGGATCTTTGCTGGTGGTAACCTCTGGAAAGCATGAGTTAATCCAAATATCTGTTGGGAAAGGGAAAATGAAATAGTAAGTATTGCAACAGCCTCCTAACTAGTCTTTCTGCTTTCAGTCTTAATATACCCTCCCTCTCCATAGCCCAAATCCTTTATATAAAAACTAGAATGGTCTTAATCAAAATCAAACCAAATCATATCACTTGCTTCCTTATAATCCTTCAGTAACCTGCTCTACTGCTCAGCCTATAAGGCCCTCCCCAACAGGCCTGCAAAGACAAGTCCTCTCACTGACATTGCCAGTCTCATCTGCCCTTTCTCTCACAACTGCTGCCGTACTGAAATTCCTTCAGTTCCTTGATGTTTTCTCTCATGTCCAAGCCTTGCACCATGAAGCTTTATTCCTCTTAAGACTTTTGCCCTCCTTTTTCTTTCTTTTTTATTTTTAATTGCCAGAGGACATGTGCATTTGTCAGAGAGAGACATGAGAAAGAGAGAAAAAGAGAAGGAACCCTCCAATGGGAATGGTCAAACCACAATCTCTTTTCTTCCCTTTCTCCATCCTGTCTGGATTTGAGGCATGCATACACATGCACCCATCATGTTCTCTAAGCCCCCAGGTCCGGGATTTGAACTGCATTAGCCATGTACCTTAACCACTAGGCAGTGGGGCCAACAATTACCTCCTCTTTATTTAGCCAACTCTTATTATTTAGGACTCAGATCTACCATCTCTCTTTCAGACAGGCTCATTAACTAGATTGGATCCTTAGGTATATATTCTTATACCTCCATGCACTTCCTTCAACACAGTTTTCCTAACAGTGTTCCTACCTTGACTGTGAGCTCCCTGGAAACAAAATCCCTGCCTATCTTGGTCATAATGGTATGTCACTGTGCCTAGCACATAGTACATGCTCAATAAATACTAAGAAAGGAAAGGATAGATGGGAAAACTAAATATACACATGTCATGGCACTTCAGGATAAAAATCTGCTAAGATTAGATTTCTCTGTGATCATTAAAATAAAAAAGAGGGATGTGGGTTTGCTTTTCAATCTGTTGAAAGTGATAGAGGGAAAACAATTATTCATTTTACTCTGAGTCAACCATGGTGCTAGGTATTTAAGCAGGAATTTCATTTTGACATTTTTTAAAAATTTAACTTTATTTGTTTGTTTGTTTTTATGTTTAATTTGACCAGAGAGGGACAGAGCGAGAGCAAGAGTGAGAGAGAGAGAAAATGAGAAAGAGAGAGAAAGTGAGAGAGAGAGAAAGCAAGCCACCAGGTCTAGGACTTGAACCACAGTCAGCCATGTGGGAGTCCAACATCCTTAACCACCATGCCACCTGCCAGCCCTCTTAGTTTGAAAATTCCATCAAATCTTCATTTATATAAGAGGAAACTGAAGTTTAGAGAAATTGAGTAATTTGCCCAAAGTCACATAGCTAGTAAATGGCAGAATCATGCAATACACTATGAATTCGCATCTATTTAAAATATTTAATTATCTATGACAGAGAGTAGCATCACTGTTAGATACGAAGAAACAATTATTCCATTGAGTTTGTTAATTTTTGAAATTAAGTTAAAATGCAAGTGTATACTGATAAAACATAGAGACCATATAAGCACTGTCAGTTTTATACTACTCATTTTCCTTTGAAAAGTCCTCTATTCAAATAGACATCACCCTGACCTTCTCTGCCCTGAACTTTAAATGACTTTCCTGTTCTTGAGCACATGCTCAAGTTCTTCCCTCAGAAAATGAACACTTTTGCACATCAGGGGAAAAACATACTGAACTCAGTATACTTACTGGGAACCAGAAAGACAGAAACAAAGAGTTGTTCCTGTTTCCAGGAGGACAGAGAAGCATTTTGATAAAGGTGGAGGAGATCACTAGGGATTCAGAAGAGGGGTCATTTAGACAGGGTATGGAGGATTCATGTGTTCATTCAACAAATATTTATGGAAAGCCAACTCTGCCAGGCATTTTTCTGGATGCTAGGGATGAGGTTACTTCTCCTAAGGGACTTGATGCTATTGGAAGGATAGAGGTCATTTAAAAAAATAATAAACAAGCCAGAAATTTGAGAGGATGATAAATGTTGAAAAGAAAGCTAAACAGGACAAAGATTAAGCTGGTATGGCTGGAGGATGGAAGATAGACACTCTGGATAGGGTGATAAGAGAATGTCTCTTGGGGAGGTGATACATAAGCTGAGAACTGAATGATGAAATGTAGGCAGTCATTGAAGATCTAGGGCAGAATCTTTCAAAGTAAAGAAAACAAAGTTCAAGAGCCAAAAGTTGAATGAGCTTAGGCCATTGATGAATAAGGCCAGGATGGCTGGAATAGAGCAGAGCTCATTCAGTATAGAAGAAGGAATAGAATATCCCAGTTGATGGGAACAGCATGAGCCAGAAGTCCAGACATTTGGTAGTTGTCAGAGAAGGGACAAGGAGCACAGTGTGACTGGAAGGAAGGCTGCAAGCAAGAGGTGAGACTAGGAGGACCGGTTGGAGGCAATCAAGATTCTTGATTGCCATGTTAAAGAATTTGGAATTTATGCTGTAGAAGAAGGAAATTTCAGCTAGGATCCACAAACCTCCCAAACTGTATACAAAAGTTCTCATATGTGTCTAATTTTGTGTGCAAAAGACTTTATAATTTACATCATATTCTCTATCTTTTTCTGGTTAGCATGCACATGAGCTCTCCAGAGACAGAGAGACAGCGAGAGAGGGACAGGAGAAAGCGCCTTCCATGGGTTGTAGTCATGTTGCATTTTCCACCCACCCCCTAAAAGAATGGTCACACCATAATCCCTGCTCCTCCATCTCTCCCACCATTTGGGATTTTTGGCACATGTACATGTGCCCAGTATGCTTCTAAAGCCACCAGATCTGGGACTTGAATTGCATAGTTGTTCATGTGGAATCCAACCATTTTAACCACTAGGCCAAAGAATTGTTCTGTACATCATATTCTCAAATGGAAAGTCATCCAAGGCTGTGGAGCAAGAATGAAATAATTGTCAGGTGTGGGGAGAATGAAATGCAGAGGATAAAGAGCAAATCCAGGAACATGCAGAAGCTATTGTAAGTGCACCAAAATGGGAGAAACTAAAAATATTTGGAATCCTAAAAGCTTGACCTTAAGAGATCTAGGAAGAAGTGATTCTCAATCCTGGCTACAGGTTGAATCATCTTGGAAGCTTTTTCTCCTCCTCCTCTTTTTTTTTTTTTAGAATTATTTTTAAAATTTTATTTATTCACTCATTTATTTTAATTTGACCAGAGAGAGAAAC